TCTTTTGAAAAAAATGTATTTTTCAACAGTATTTTAATATTATTTCAACAACACATTTTTCAATAAAATAATATTACACGCAAATCAAAAAATTTTCCTTATTTTTTAACCACAATTTTTTTCATTAATACACTGTTCAAAAATTCATTTTCTCCCCTCAGATGGGGTTCAAACAAGGGTGAAGATGAAAAGGTGTAACCTTTTGTTGAACCCTCCACAGTTGATAATTTTTTGACAAGTCAAATTTGTTAAAAGCGTATACTTAACAAGTTCAATAGATGAACATAATCAGATGAAGCTCCACTCTGATTATTAAGGTTTGGTAAATCTTTATGCATACAAGTAACTATTCAGCTCTAATTATTATTCAATTCATACATACACTTGATTCAACTATGTAAGCTGTGTATAACTTATGATGAAATGTTAACAGATTCGAAACAAACAGTAATTGATCCAATAGAAAATTTTATTGATAAAATAAGTCTTTTGCAAAAAACAAAAAAAGAAAAAAAAGGCTAAATCGCCTCATTGAATACTAAGGGTAAAAGGAAAAGTCTAATCTCCAAAAAGTAGCATCGTCCGCTAGAGCTTTGCCATCGACAGAGTCTTCAACAGAGTCATCCTATTGGGCAAGGGTAGCAGGAAGTTCAGGAAGGAAATCCTTCTTCAGACCACAATGTCCACCTCAGGATTTGTCGCCTTCAGCCTTTCAATCATTTCCTGGTATACAGCCCTCCTCCAATAAGTACATAGGACATCATACTTGACTATTTCAAGGAAATGAGCCTTGTACTCTTAGACCACTGCTTCACCCGCTTTCAACACCTGCTGCTTTAGATTTACAAACTCAACTTTCAACTTGAGAGGTCAACTTTTTCTTCTTTCCATTTGCCACCTCCAAGGCAAATGAGGCGATCCTTTGGAGCTTATTTGAATTCTCCACCTGTTTCGTCAAATTCAAGACCTCAGACTTAGAAGGTATATTTCATTATTCAAATCTTCATTTTTACTACTAAGGAAGGCTACCTTTGATTCACCATTGGCCTGCTTCAACTTAGCATCTTCGATCACATCAACCTCAACCATCAGCTTCTTCACCTCCAAGTTGACAGCATCAGCCACCTTTAGGTTCTCTTGATTGGAGGTAAACGCTTTAGCTCCATTTGGGAGTTCAAGAAGAATCCCAATGAGGGAGCTTGGAGGGCTAGTTTGGTCTCCATTATATCCATCGAGTTGTAAGTCTTCACATAATTCAAGTATTTTTCAGTCCAATAATCGTGGTGGACCCGTGCCGCTGGTTGCACCTTGGTAGGCAATATCTTAAAGCAGGTAGGTTCCAATTTATCCATATGACCTCCCAAGAAGCTCCGAACCTTCCCATCAGTGGCCACCCCGCCAACCTTTCCTTACGTCTCCATCTTTTTATCAGGCCCCCTCTTGCTCCTCAACTTCCTTAGACTCCACAATTTTTATAGTTGAGATAGTTGGATAGTCAATGGCCTCTTCTTAGATTCTATTGTTGTTAGCTGCCTTGTAAAATGACAAAGTAAACCAAAATTCTTGAAAATGGTCAGTCGTCCCTTTGTGGACTTCTTCTTCTTAGCTTCCTCCTCTTTTCCTTTCTCCTTCTAGATACAAGTCAACTCATCCCCTTGGGATTTGTAAGCCGCTGTACTAGTGCTTAAAGGCTTATTTTTCTTCATCTTACCTAGACGGTGCAGGGCGAATAGGCCCCACATAGCATGCACCTTATTCTTGTGATGATCTGTAGTAATGTCAATGCCAAAAATGATAGGCTATGCCTTATTCTTGTTAACTCAAGACTCACTATACTTATGATGTTGGGTAGGATCTATAATCTCTAGATCGCATCGCCCTCCACTGTCTGTCGTCGACCCTTGACTAGAATCGTAAGGATTTCTAGTTCTTAATTGAAGAAGAAGTATCCCAGACGAAGGGCACATATGAACCCCAAGGATTAATGCAATACCACCCATTATGATCCTCACCTCTAGTACTATTTCTAAGTTGGAAGAGGGTCTGAAATACGTGATGGGGCATGTCTTTGTCTCCACTAGCCTCTTTCCACGAGAAAGACCTCTAGTAATTGGCTTCAGGGATTTGAAATGAGCTGAAGTGGGGCGAGGTTGTATTACCTAAGGATGTACCCAAAAAAAAGGATGAAGGATAACCTCATGCTTCCACATTGAATAGCCTCGCTAATGACGCTGTAACCTTACCTGGGAAAGCAGACTCACTCATCAGAGGTTGGTACAAACAATTCAATAGTATCAGGGATTTTAAACCTCTCCTATACTTAGTCAACTTATCCTCCTTCACACGGGTTGGCTAAAGTGAAGCCATCCACCTCACACTATGATCAAAGGCCATTCCTACATCATCCAAGTACAATGACGACCCCCATGGCCTCCATGATCCTTTTAGTAGAGATCAAAGCTAGCAATCCCTTCTTAAAGGCTAAAGCACTAATGTTATGGGTTCAGAGGACTCTTTAAAGCCAATTTTCCTAGAAGACGAGGTACCAAGAAATACTAAGAAGAATTTGAAAAAAAAAAAAAATAGGTACCAAGAAAATTTCCTAAGAACAATGTCTATAACCACACTTACTAATGTCGCTACACATGCTAGAAAAGAAGAACGATCGTTAGGAAATCACCAGATATTGCAAAACAATTGCAAAAATTGCTAAGAATTTTCGTAAGGTCGCAGGGTAAAAAGCTTATGACATGGCAAATGGTGGCTTATATAGGCAAATGAATCAAGCCCCTACCATTTAATCAGCATACTGTACATCCAGATCGTCTATCTATTCTCCCTCAATCGAACCATTGAATCCGAAAAGATTCCCATTTAGATTTGAACCAGAGGTCTAGATTTAGCCGTGCATCTCACCCGCCTTTTAGGTATGTCCACTTGAGCAGTTACTGTAAATTGTCATCATTGCATAATACACCGGAAACGTGTCCCTAAGGCACGAAAAATACCTACATCTTTTTCTTTAGGAAGGCGAGACGGTGTAAATTGTCGTATTGTAATAGAACCAACACGGTCTACCCTCTAGGTAAGGGCTTCGCCAAAGCTTCTTTCAGTCTTGCAATAGGCTTCACTATCTTTCAATGACTCACCCTCTATGTAAGGGCCTTGTCAAAACTTTTTTCAACATTGCAATAGGCTTCATCATCTTTCAAGGGCTCACCCTTATGGCCCTGGTCAAAGCTTTTTTCAACTTTACGGTAGGCTTCATCATCTTTCAACGGCTCGCCCTCTATGTAAGGACCTCACCAAAACTTCTTTTAGCCTTGCAATATGCTTCATCATCTTTTAAAGGCTCGCTCTCTATGTAAGGCCTCGCCAAAGCTTCTTTTAGCCTTGTTCGATGGCTCGTCCTCTATGTAAGGGCCTCTCCAAAAACTTCATTCAGCTCTATGTTTGATTATTTCTTAAATCTCGCATTTTATAAATAGTCATATTAGACTTGGGGGACTAGTGTGCTACAGTACAGATGTGTCCATTACTTCGTAAGAACATAGGCCAAGTTGTTGATCCAAAAACAAAAAAGCACCCAGATGTTTCCCCCTCCCCTCCGGAAGAAACACATTCTCCTACCAAAATTTTCAACGTTGAAGCCCATGCCCGAAGATCATACACAGTTCACATCTGGAGATCATATGTTGTCTTGAGGATAAAACATGCCTAACTTTATAATTTTAAAGTCCACATATTATATAAATATTCATTTATGGATTTAGGGACTATCGTCACACTTCATCCAACGAGGCTCCAATCAAAGCCACGTGGTGCACATAGAGCAAAAGAGTGCAAGCCACAACATCATTTTGATGACACAAAATCTTGGTCAAACCACCCATGAGCATCAAAACTGATATGGTTGGGCCATGCCATCATTTTGATGACACGACAATCTTGGTCAAACCATCCATGAGCATCCGAAGATATGGTTGGGCCGAACCTACTGGTTATAATCAACCTTCGGGTGTCGAAGGGGATTCACAGAGGCTTTCCAAAGAAAATCTTTGTGCAAGATTATGTAGCAAGTGGGATTATGTGACTATGTACCGAAAATGTTGCTCTACTCAAGCAACAAGTCAAGTTTAACTTTACATGGCTGGCCTAGAGTTGCACCATCGCCGTTACACTTAATGCAGTATGGCCTATAAATGATTGATTGACACTTATGATAAGAGAATCTAGTCATAGGGATGAAGTCACATGCACCTTCATCCAGGGTTCCATACATCATTTTATACTACAAAAGCTCCTAGTTAACTCCATTTTAAGGTAATGCTAGTTTACATTCTCAAACTACTCTCCACTCTTTGTTGTTTTATATAGCATCCCTAGTTTCAAACCTTTATTTTATTTATTTATTATTATTTTTTTAAAATCTATGCCATAAGCCTATTCCACATCCAACCATGTATTCCACCATACTGATTTGATCGTTGTAATGCCTGTGGCCACCTCCTCCACTACTGAAGTTTGATCATACGCCCAATGATTTGTCCAAGTATACAGGACAAAAGCTTGTGCCGACACCCAAGGAGCTAAGATCCATTAGCCACGTTACCTCTTCAATAATTATGATTGTAATTTACCAAATTATCCATTAGGAGATGATGGACGACCAAGATTACTACTGAAATTTAAAACTTTAAAATTGAAGCTCCGAACAATGGCTCAACTGAAGCTAATTAAGCTCTCGTTTGGCTCTCATTAATTTTCATTTTATTTTTCTCTTCTATTTCCAATCACACAATCTTTCATAAAATAATATTACACATAAATCGAAAATTTTTTCTTCCTTTTTAATCATTCACTTTTCAAAAAAAAAAAAAAAAAATCATTCCCCCCATTTTCATTTCTACAAAATAGGCCAAACGAGGGCTAAAGTTACCTGTTTCAGCGGTCAAAATTTACCCTATTTTGTAGACAGTGGTTTTCTAATCAATTTAAATAATAAATAAATAGAATTCAGTTTAGGATTAGCGAGTAACACTCGCGATCTTAATTTTATGTTTGGGAATTTCAATTCACAGAACGACAATAAGAACAATAATCAGAGCTCAAATGGGAAGCGATATGGAGAGACATGATGAAGAAGAAGAAGAATCGGTGAGCGAAATCTTGCGAGATCGATTCCGACTGAGCACAATCTCCATTGCCGAAGCCGAAGGTTTCAAAATTAGATATACGATTATTCACAGACTTTTGTATCTACATTGTCGGTCTTTGACACAATTAAATTGACTTTTTTTTTCTCTACAGGGAAGAAAAATGGCATGCAAATTTCTGAACCTATTGTGGCCTGCGTCTCGGATTTAGCCTTCAAATATGCCCGTAATTCTCTCCTCGCACAATTACTCTATATGTGGGCATTTATGTAATGCAAGGTTTTATTTTTTATTTTTTCTCTTGCTTTTTTTGTGATTTTTCCATGGGATAGAATCAGTTAAGGAATTTGTTTTCTTTTGAAGTAAATGATTTTTTATACTTTAAAGATGGAAATTTTAATGTGTGAGCATCTCCTAATTCTTTTATTTTATGTTAGGTTTGGGCCAATGTTTGTTTGACCATTTCGTTGAAATCTACATTTGCATTTTTTTTCCTTTTCCTTTATTATGTTTTCTGAGAATTTAGTGTCAAGGGCATTGCATTTCCTGATGGCCTTGTTTGTCATAATTCTTGAATAATTTTACTGAATATATTAGCTGTAATAAATAAAGAGTTTGCCATGAGAGATTCCCCGATTATAATGTCATATATATCACCTCAAAATTTTCTTTGGATTTTTGGAAAAATCAACTGCATAATAATTAGTCAAAATAAGTTGAGAATCATTTTTAGATAGCAATGCCCTCACTAATATTTGATAATTATTTATTTGCCCTTCAATTTATATTATAATTAATAAATTCTCAATTAAATATTTGTGCTATATACATATTTTCAATTAAATTATTTATGTGCGCAAAGCATGCACACAAGTAAAAATATGTATATACAGATAAGTATTTAATGGAGAGATCATTGAGATAATATTAATTGAGGGACAAATCAAATCAAGAGTTATCAAGTGAGGGCATTGATGTCCAAAAAAATGATTCTCAACTTATGAGACACTTAAAGCTTGTTAAGCACTGTATATTTCAAGTGGAAAATTATTTTTTTGGAGAATTTGTGGTTGAAAAGTGAGGAAACGTTCTTGGTCCTATAGAATGTGTGGTTGAAAATGATTTTATAGAAAAATGGTTTTAGAAAAATCTGTAACAAACATGCATTTAGTATATTACATATACACTTTCTATTCTTATGAACTGTAATGATTCATGTGTGATATAACATAGGGCAATGGCATTTTTAAAGCCTTTTCCTATCTCTTTTGATTGTTCAATGGCAAGATTGCTTTGGTTCAGGCGTTCAGCCATCTTTCTTTAAAAGGGACAAAAAATGTGAATACTGAAGTGAGAAGCATTGTGTTTCTTGGAGTTTGTGCTGAAGCGTAGTTTATGCATTATTCATAACCGAGACTACAACTACTGTCTATCAAACTCCATAGTTTGCTTCTTAAACAGAAATTTGAGTTTGAAGAGCTTTCGAAACCTTAGGCCGAATCTTATGAATTGAGTCCATTTTCTGGTTTAGTATTACAATTTCATTTTGTAATTTTATTTATATTGAAGAAGCTCCTCCCTCCCTCGTGGTGCCACAAGTACTTCTACATTCAAATGATTTTGGCATCAGGTTCCACTTAACCTGCAATATATAATCTCATTTTATGCAATCAACAAATTGAAAATGACTGTCAAGTAATTGGTTTCACCTTTTCTTTTTCTAATAAATTGGAAGTGCATGTAAAGTATTCATTGCATCCCTTCATGTAGGAATTTAAAGTTCCTGCTGAAATATTCAATAGCTATCCAGATATTAAAAAAAAAGGAAAATACAAGATTCATGTGGTGTTAACTACTTGTGTCTTGTTTATTATTATTATTATTATTATTATTATTTTTTAAATGAGATCTGCATGTTAATTTCTAGCATCATTTTTTCCAGTGGCTCATCTCTATGGATCTAGCCTAATCAACTTCCCTACTTCTCTTTCCCTTAATTGCTGTTTTTTTTTTTTTTTGTTTTACAAATTTTGTTCCTGTAGCAAGAATTTGCAACCTAAGTATGAAATGATGACGTAATAACCGAGATTTAACATATTGCAACTCATATTTTTGCTTCCTACTATATACTCTGCTGTTGATTTTACCAGTTAGTTTTTTAACGTGTCCTTTGTCATCAAAGTTCACTACATTTATGGACCTTAAAGTAATGGCAGATTAGTAGAACGCACCTATATGCACTTGAAAGTACTATGTTGACGTACTAACATGGTTTGGTCTACAGTTTGTGTGTTGTCTTTGATTGGAAATTAATTGATTGAATTTATGAACTACTGTATTATTTCTTGAAAAGCAGAGCAATTAGCAAAGGATCTTGAGTTATTCGCTCAGCATGCTGGTCGCAAGTCTGTGAATATGGAAGATGTCATACTTTCTGGTGAGATATAAAAATTCTTGCCATGGCATATGTGGGATCTATGTCTCGGAAATTATAAAATTTAACATGATTTTCCTAGCTTGTCTGACCAGACCTGCATCCTATCGTGTTTATCAGTTAAATATGAATTACAATAACCTACTAAGTAGCTGTTGCTATTTAAGCCTTTGTCACATAGGTTATGAAACATGATGTTCTACTACCATATCTTGAAATTTGGCATACTGCTTTTCCATGTGATTTGTCTATCTGTTGCATTGGTTAATATGGCATATTAAATGGTTCATATATATAAACTTATCATTCTATATTCGCTCCCTCACGAAATTCGGTACATGAGACTGCTTAAATCTGTTTCAGCACATCGTAATGATCATCTGGCTGCCTCATTAAGGTCCATATCCAATGAACTAAAAGCAAAAGAGCCCCAGTCTGAGAGAAAGAGGAAGAAGAATACGAGAAAGGAAGACAAATCTAATGCAGATGTACACTAAATTGCTGATCCATAACTCGAAAATTTATGGACATGGTAGACTCCATGTTTCTGGTCTGATAATCATTTGAAGCTTATAAAGCCTTTGCACCTTTATTTATAAACTTAATCACAAAACTGTAGCTACTCAGGAATCGGGATGTACCTATAGTTTTATATCTACAAGGAAGGGGGTATAGTTCTTCTACGTCATCTTCTATTACCCGATAAGTTATACGGTGGTTGTGACACTTTTAGAAGGTGATTACGACTTTTTTAGAAGTATGTATTTGTTAGCATTGAGTGAATTGTAAAACAACCTAGCTAGACGTAAAACGGTATTACAGTTTTCATTTGATCTCTAAAGTTAACATTTCTAAATAGTTTTCGATATTATTGAGTAATGTATCCAAACATGACACTACAAATATCCCCAACCAAAATTATTTAAGTTAGGAATTGCCTTTTTTAAGTTTATGCGTTGTTGTCTAGGCTAATCATTCTTAAAAATAAACTTTAACACACACCCCAAATAGGCCTAGGGGAAAATAATGAACTAAGAATGAGTCATTGGTCTAAAGTAAAAAAACATTATACTAGACATCCTCGTAATTAATATAATTGAAATGAGATGCAAATGATTCACCTGTAGAGACGTGCATTCCTTTCTCATCCCATGGGTTGTGTCCCCAATCTTCATATGACAATACTCTTTGAACACTAATTGGATCAGCTTTACTTGGATTTTGAGGGTTTAGAGAATGAGAAATTATAGCTTATCCAATTTTTGTTAGGATAACTTTATAATATTCTCGGGATTTTTTTATATTGTGGGGGCATGAAACAAAATTTTGAAGAAAAAAGGTCTTGTAAGCATTGATCTAAATTTGAATATCTATTAATCCAAGATATTTCCATTTCGAAAATAGGGCTTGCAGTTGATTTGAGAAAATAACGAAAAGTTGGACGAGGGTTTATTTGAGGGACTTTACCAGAACCTTGAACGGCTTTTTTGAAGTTTGAAGGTTTGCATTGTTCTGGATTTAATTTTATTTTAGTCTGATTTTTGAAAACAAGAGTTGAAAGTGTTGTATTTTAAGTATATTGAGTAGAGAAGAAGCAGATTGTTCTTCATGTTTCGATGATCCTTTAAAGAAGTCATCAATTGAAAATAATGGAGTAGAATTTTTCTTTCTCTACTTTTCTTTTGAAAAGGATTTTGAGCTTCAGAGGGAGCCATTGAAGATTTTTTGTTTATATTTTTGAATTTTTCTCTCTATCTCAACTTGATCTGTATAAACTCTCTTGTAAGGAAGTCTGTAAGAATATTTGATTTACCTTTTATATTCAGAATTTCAAAATCAAAATAAAACAAAATCGCTTGCCATATTGCAAAAATTTGCTTTAAAATAAGATTTTTTTACATCCTTTTATAAAACATTTTTAGATGCTTTAAAATCAATTTTCAAAATAAATTTTTTATTGATTAAATTATCTTGAAATTTTGAAATACACAATCCTATGGATAAGATTTCTTTTTGATAGTGGAATACTCCTTTTGAGGCCGGTCCACACTCCACCATGGTACCTAACCAACTGTTTTTTATTTGATTCTTTTGGAATCTGCTTTAACACTCCACTATATCCTATATTTGAAGCATTAGTCTCAACAATAATGGAAGCAGCGGGGTCAAGTATTGAAAGACAGAGATTATTTTTTATTGTCTTTTCGAGGAGGTTGATATCTCAGTTTCAGAATTTATTTCAATTCTATTAAGCCTAGAATACATAGATTGAAGAACTATATTTGTGTAGTTATTTTGAGCTTGAATATTTTTTATTTCTTTAGCGACAACTTGAAAATCATCAGATCGTTTTGTAGATATCTTTTTGAAAAGAGAAACAAGAATTTCAGTATTTTCATGTGGAATTACCATTTCTTGTAAAAGAGGATGAGAAAATTGAATAGTTTCTCCGGAAGGAGTTTTCCAAATCTTTTTTGAAATATTTGTATTTTGGATAGTTTTTTCTTTACGTAAACTGAATTTGTTGTTGTAAACTTTGAAATATGCCAATTCATAAAAACTCAAATCTTCAGGAAATTTATAAAATTCTTCCTCATAAGACTTTCTTTCTTCTTTTAAAAAAGTTTTTTGAAATATTTTTCTAAAATTTTGACATCTATACGCAGATGAGTTTTAAATTCATTTCTTCTATCAATTCTAGAAGAAATAACATTACATTATTGATCAAGATTTGAAAGAGGAACCATATAAGATAAAGTTGGTGAATTAGGTTGTTCTGATCTTTTTCATTATCTCCATATGGAGATTTTGGAATATTAGGGTTAAAATCAACACCATTTAAAGATGATGTTGAAAATGTAGCCGATTGAAAAGAAGTTCTAGGTCTATCTTCAGATCTGGAAGAATAATATCTTTGAAGCCTACAAGAGGATCCTTTGAAAATGATTTTGACATTTCCATCTGGAAAACTAATAATTTGATTACGAGTTGTTTGAACAGGAGCATGAATACGATTTTGAATATTTTCAAAATTTCATTCAAGTCCTCTATATTGAATATTCCTTGGAACTCTCTTGGAAATCATAGTATTTGAATGAAAAGGATTTACTTCAACCAAAAAAATTTCATCTTTTGGGATGAATGAAGAGCACCAATATTGAGCTAAGTGTTTATGAGTTTGTAATATATTCTATATATTACAACAAAAGCATTTGAACGATCATCAAGATCAAGATATTTGTTTGAATATGAAGATTTAGAACATTAAGAGTAGCTCCATTGTTGAGATTAATTGAAAAATTTGGATAACAATTTGAAAATATGGACTACTTTCTAGATTTGTCTCCAAAACAGATAATAATGAACTTTCAAATTTGAGAAGTATTTTATCTCGAAGAGTTAAGAGAATAGGAGTATCTAAACCAAGTCGAAATAAAGGTTTAACAGCAATTTAAACTAATCCAACAAGAAGATATTTAAATTTCTTTCTATGGGATTCAATACTTTCTTTTGAAAATAAATTGATAAATGCATTTTGACTCTTAATAAGTAATGTTTGTTCAAAAGTTTTGATAACATGACTTTGAGTAAAATCAAATTTTCCTATTTCATAAATAGAGTTTTTATCTACCTTTGGAATAGTCCAGTTATGCAATCTTTGTTCATTTTGAGCAATTTGAAGTTCATGAGAATTGAAATCATTAGATGCAGATGCTTGATCTAATTCTTCTTCACTTTGAAAAATATTTGAAATATTTTCAAATCTATTTCTAAATCTCCTTAATCAATTTGAAATAGAAGACATAATCAAATAAAATGAAAATTACATTAACTTACCACTGTAAAATAATACAATGGGATAGACAAACTTTAGCTAAGCCTACAACAGGACCACCCAAACATGTCAACTATGGCAAACACGGACTGACCAACGCTATTCAGTAGACATCCATGTTTTATTCTAGTTTTCCTATGGAACAGTTTCTACAATGAATAATACTATAACCTCACCGTATATATTGTTTAGTTGGACGCAAGGGGAAAAAACCTCCATTTAGAATATTTTTCTCTAACATTTTTCTTTCCTTTCATAAAACTTTGCTGCAAGTGGACTGTATTGTAGTCCACAATACAAATAAAAATAATTGGTAAACGAAATTTAGTATGCTTTTCGAGATATTGATGGCAATTGGTACGAAGAGTTTTTATTGAAGAAGAAAACGATCGAGTTTTTACTCTTGTTTCCTACACTTCCAGCAGGGACGTACCCAGTTCACGATTTGCCTGCACTGAGATTTGGGCCAGCCCCAACCCAATTAAATAAAAAAAATGTGGTGAATGGTGAAGAAGGCGACGAGTGCTTGAACAAATGTACTTGTACTTGCTGCAAGAGATGAAAATATACAAATGTACTTAAAAATGAAATTGAAAATACACAAATGTACTTGAACAAATGAAATAGAAATCAAGCTTGAAGATTTCTTCCCAGTTCCTTCAATCTTGCTCGGCGACTCATTCTTCTCTCGTTTTCTTCTCTTTCTTCGTCATTCAATTTTCCCATTCTTCTCTGGTTTTCTTCTCATTCTACACATTTACGAGTGCACACTGCATTCGAGAAATTTTTGCATGCACTGAAAATATTTCCTAGGTCCGTCCCTGACTTCCAGGGACTATTTTTCAACTGATATTTAAAAATGATTAGTCTTGATTTCTTTATGAAATAAGAATGCTTGATTACATAAGATACATTTAAAAGCCTAAATGAAAGAGTCATTTTATTCAAGGAAATTGAGATGAAGCATCAATATCCACTAAACGACACAAAAAGAAATATAACATTAATAGCATGATCAATTAGAAAAAAAGGTAAAGATAGAGAGGAAAAAAAGGAGATAAGCTAAAAAAAATTTACTGGTACTAAGAGATTTATAGTGTACATAAGAATTAAAGAGATAATTAAGTGGTGGTTTATGTAATTTTTCTCATATCAAATTTAATAATTGAATTTTTTATTTTTTGTTTTAAAAAAGTGGTATAACAAACAAATTTTGTGGAAAATAGCCAATTTTATTCATTATCCCTTGGTCTTCATTTTTATCTTGACGTTTCTGCTTTTTCATCATGTATTCATGTTTCCTAGTGACGTAGTTTACTATATTTAAATCATCTTTTCACATTATTTCTAATTCCAACTGCACTGTTATTAATTTTATATCATTTACTATCTTCAACTACATTTCTTTCCTTTTTTTTTTTTTTTTTTTTATTTCAATTGAAACTTTTTTAGAGTAATTAGATAGTACAAGTCAGGATTAAGACGGTTCTATATAGGATCTCTCACCCCGAGATTTTCTGAGAGGCAGTGGAGGGTAGTTATTGTTCTATTTCCAATTCATTTATTAAATCAAATTTCGGATCAATCTATATTGATCGATTGCCTCCATTATGTTGTTGTTAGCAAATACCGCAATTTTTTATTTGATGGAAAATATGCTCAATATCATTTGATTGAATAGTTGACCTAGCCTCTTATTGTTTGTCCTAGCTCTGCTATATCTTTTGTTTCATTTCTTCTGGAATAATCACAAACACTTTTTTTATTTTAATTATTATGGATCTACTACTAAAAATTCAATGTGTAATTTCAACAATCAATATGTATTCCTAAATAATTTTAATACGATTTAAAACAAAAATATATAACTAAGTCTAGGCACAAACTATTGGGTTATGTGCCCCTATAGTATAGTTTTGTTGATATAAAAATAACAATATTTTTATATTGAATAAAATTATGTTTACTTCATTTATTACATTTATTTACTATTGAGCATGCGAAATTAAAGTGCATGCGATCACTCGTGATAATATGATTTAGGTACTTGTGTTGAGAAGTACAGTGTGATACAACATATATTTTGTTCATAAATAATTTGTTCGCAATCTATGTATAAGGATTGTCATCTTGTACTACAAGGTTATAGTGTTGATCAACTTAATATTTGAATTTGTGATTTGTCCTTATCACAAAAATAGTTAAAGGTGACACTAACATACTTGGAGTGTATTGAACGGATCGCTTGTTGAATTTAACTCTATGGCATGACCCTGTGGAGATTTAAATTCAACTTGACCGTTGTGTATTTTATCTAAATCCTTTGATGGGATTATGTATATCTTTTTTGTGATTTTAGTTGTTCTTTGATTCATCAATGCGTGAGATCAAATTGATTGGTCAAATATCTTGATGAGTTGGGAACTTGAGAATGAGCGGAGTAGAGAAAATGAATTCATGTCGGGAACCGTCATCCTGAAAAATGAGTAAAGTGACTCCTTAAATATTTTCTATTGAACGGTTAAAATCTGAGCTCAATGTTTAGCGACGGCTAAATTTCAACACCTGTGATTAGTCCAGATGATTGTTGAAGAAAATAGTACTTAAGTTAGTATAATTAGAATGGAAAGACGGACATTTATGCTTATACCTAATTATCAGATCTCGAGCAGAATAAAGTACATATACAGTAGATCAGAGGAAAATATTACAGATTTATTAATTTCTATAATTTTATATATGCAAAGGGTTCAATATTTTTCCTTTTAGTGGAAAAAAGTAAAGATTAATTATCAGATTGGGTGGTCTAGGATCAACTAGACAAGATCTAATTATTGGAGCTTAGGTAATATATGCCTGATCAAGTCCCTGTGGTAACTCCATAAAGTATTAGAACTTAATTACAATAATTATAATAGTTTTGGGTTTAATTGTAATTACAATAATTTTTTGTACTTAGTTTTAATTACTATGAAAGTTGTAAACTTAACTATAATTATAATTGAAGTTCTAGGACTACACATGTAATTAAAAGTAAACTAATTGAATTTGTGTTTTAATTAAAACTCCTACTTGAATTTTAATTAGAACTCTTATTTGAATGTGGAATTATTATTGTACATGGATTGTAACTTCTTTATCTCTATAAATAGAGATTAGATGGACACAAAATACTACAATAATCATAATACATAATCCCAGAAAATTCAAATTGAGAGAGAGAGAGAGAGAGAGAGAGAGAGAGAGAGTTATTTTCCTATTTCAATTGTCCAGTTCAAGAATTAATTTTTTGAATTAATTAAAAGAATGTATCCATGCACCAGTGTAGTCTTTGCTTTGGAGAATACCATAGAAAACTTGGAGGTTCGAAGCACCAAGTTCTTGTAATTAAAAGGGGCTGGAAGTTCGTGATTCAAAATCAATTTAAAGGTTGATCATTGAACTTAGACAAAAATTCGAATCCTTTAATTTTTGTATAATATATACGTGAACATCTAGAAGATCTTGCTTATTGAATTAAAGAAATTTTTAATTTCTGAATGATTCCACTTTTGCATTTCAACAACCACAACTAACAAGGGAACCCCTGTGGGACATGATATTTGTCTTCCACATCTATAAATTCATTTGTTGTTCCCTCTAAATGTATTAATATCTTTAACCATGAATTTGATGAGAAAAGTATTCAATTTCTGCTTTTGAACCGATGATCCTCATTGTGAGGATTCCTTTTTATTTATAGAAATGATAAAGCACATTACACGGCTGAATGTCAGCCACCACTATACCTGTATGGAAAATGAATAATTTTCCACCAATTACAGCTAATATACAAAGCATTTATTCTAATTGCTAGCTGTAAATTAATTTTCCTATCTAATTGACATCCCCACTCATATTGATGCTGGGTGATCAAGAAGCATCAATTTTCCCACAAGAAAGAGATGATGTTGTCGTGTCAATGCTTTGGTGAATATGTTGGCAATCTGAAGATCAGTAGAGATATGTGGAAGAGAAATAATACTTGCATCAAAAGCTTCCATAATTGAGTGACAATCCACTTCGATACGCTTTGTACGTTCATGATATATTGGATTTGCAACAATCTAAATAGCACTCGTGTTGTTTGCATGAAGGGGTGTAGCATCAGATTGACGAAACCCAAGTTCAGTTAAGAGCCCACGAAGTCAAATAATTTCAGAATAGGCAGCAGACATGGCATGGTACTCGGATTCAGTTGAAGATTTAGACACATGAGTTTGGTTTTTACTCTTTCAAGAAATCAAAGAATCACTAAGAAACATACACCAACTAGTAACAGAATGATGGGTATCAGGGCACCCAACCCAATCTACATCATTAAATTCAACAAGATGGATGGGAGAGCCAGCAAGGAAAAAAATCCACGATGAGGAATACTTCGGAGATACCAAATGATGCAACGAACGACCCCAAGATGAAGATGTCGTGGAACTGCATAAACTGACTAACTTGCTGGACTGCGAATGATATATCAGGCCTAGTGATGGTCAAGTAGTTGAGGCTCTCAACTAATTGACGAAAGATAGTAGGATAAAAAAGAAGGTAACCCTTCTCACAACGATATTTAACATTAACTTCCAGAGGAGTATTGACAGACGAAGAATCTTGAAGACTAGCCAAAGTGATCAAGTCTTGGATGTATTTGTGTTGGTTCAAGAAGATACCCGTGGAATTCGTATGTACTTCCAAACCCAAAAAATATATAAGCGGACCAAGATCCTTCATATGAAAGGAAGCTTGTAGATGCTGCTGGAGTTGAGTGATTGACCCAGAATCCATGCCAGTGATGAGAATATCATCCACATACACAAGTAAAAGAACAATACCAATAGATGTCTTTCAAAAAATTAGGAAGGAGTTATACTGGCTTTGGATAAAAGAAAGCTATAACAATGTAGATCGAAACTTTTCAAACCATGCTCGAGGAGCTTGTTTCAACTCATAAAGAGGCTTCTTCAACTTACATACTTGTGAGAAAGAAGAAAAAAGACTCGGAGGAGGTGTCATGTAAATATCCTCCTTCAGATCACCATGAAGAAAAGCATTTTTTACGTCCATTTGGTGAAGAGGCTACCCCTGAGAGGCAACAATAGAAAGAACAATGCGCACCGTAGTCATATTCGCCACTGGAGCAAATGTCTCTTCATAATCTATCCCGTATTCTTTCTTATTTCCAAGAGCAACTAGGCGAGCTTTATAACGTTCCAAAGTTTCATCAGAACGAAGCTTAATAGAATATACCAACTTGCAACCAATAGCCTTGACATTAGACGAACAAGGAACAATATCCCAAGTATGATTATCCTGAAGTACCCAAAGTTCTTTATCCATAGCCTTCCGCCAACATTCATGTTTAGCTGCTTCTAAATAACTATGAGGTATAGATGTCAATGTAGTGGCAAATGAATGAAATGAACCATATCTATCAAGTGGTCAAGAAATACGGGTAGATCATCGAGGACCCGGATCAGAAGGTACATCAGTATCTGATACCAACTCAGGCTCAAAAGAGAGTGGCTGAACAAGATCAAATGTGGTCAACTTAGGAAGAGGCCTATTTGGTCGACGTCTCTCATACACAATTCTGGGCTTGAATCTTTCAGGATGAGAAGTCAAATTATCAAAACATGGAAGAATACTAATTTCAGGTAAATTTTGAGCATGGGTAGGAAAGAAAGATTGTTGCTCAAAGAAAATAACATTACGAGAAATACGAAATCTATTAAAATATGGATCATAGTAAACATAACCTTTGTGCGAAATACTATAGCCCATAAAGGCAGACTTAACATATTGTGCAGAAAGTTTGTGTCGTTCATGAGAAGGTAAATGAACAAAACAAATGCATCAAAGGTATGAAAGTCATGATAAGTAGATGTTGATTATGAAGGTGATAATATGAAGAGTCAAAGCGCAAAATTTGGGAAGGCTATCTATTGATTAAATAAATTGCAGTGGACATTGCTCCAACCCAGAATTTTGAAGGAACATAGGAATCAAGTGATAATGTACGAACAACATTCAGTAGATGACGATTCTTTCTTTCTGCCACTGCATTTTGTTGAGGAATATAAGGGCATGATCGTTGAGACAAAATCCCTTTCTGGTTTAAAAAATTATGAAACTCATGGGACATATATTCTCTACCTGAATCAGATCGTAAAATTTTAATACTGGTAGTGAATTGAGTCTCAACATATGTCACAAAAGTCTTGAAATTTGAAAGTGCTTTAGATTTAAAATGGAGAAAATAGATCCATGTGTATCAGCTGTAATCATCAATAAAAGTCAAGAAATATTTATACTGGGCATGAGAGGCGACAGGGGAAATGCTCCAAACATCACTATGCACAATATCAAAGCAAGTACAAATTATGAGAAGAACTGTTTTTATTACCCAATAAACCAGAATTTGTCAAATAAGACAGGATAGTGGAGTTTGGATGGCCCAAACATTTGTGCCATACTTCACTTTTATTGTTAACAGTTACACATGCCAAAGATAAATAACTAGGAATAGAAAAGTGTAATGGAAACAATCGTCCAATTTTAGGCCCCTTCGTGAGTATCTTCCCCGACACCTGATCCTGCACAAGAACACCATCACTAGGGAAATGGACATCATAATTGTTATCAACTAATTGACCAACTGAAATATGATTTGTAGATAAACCAGGAGATATAAAAATGTCTCGGAAAGTAGAATCAACTAGCCAAGATTGAGATGAAGTATTATGTTTACCTTGAAGTCCCAAAGCAGAAAAAGCTAATGCAATCATTTCTTAGACCATTTCAGGAGTAAGAATGGGTTGCACAGCAGCAGAAGATGACTCAGGAGCTTGTGGACTGACAATAACCTGATACGTATTGGCTTGGCGATTCTGAGGTCGAATATGACAGTTTTTGATAATGTATCCCAACTTCTTGCAGTAATTGCAAGACTTCTTGGTACAATGAGTAGTAATATACTTATAGTCTTTGCAGTTGAAATATTGAACTTTTTGCATGTCCCTTCCCTTGCTTTTCCCATGAGCTGCATAAGCGATGGCATTAGGTGTCATATGATGTTGCTAAAAAGAGGCATGTGTTGTAAAACGCTACTCTTCTCGAAGTAAATCCCCAAAACATACATCTAAAGAAGGAGGTAGATCATGATTCATCAAATTGGACGCGTAGCCTCAATTTCTGGTCTCAACTTCATCAGAAATTGATCACGTTTGCTTTGTTCATGAACAGTCTGAATAGTTGCAGGTGGTACTTTAGCATAGATAATATCAGTAAATTTAGCCCATAAATTTTGAAACCTGGAAAAGTAATCCTGGATGATGAGATTGCCCTAAGTGTAATTTGCAATCTCATATTCCAACTGAAATCGTCTGGCTGTATGATCCTAATTGTAAACCTTTTTCAAAAACTTCCACATATCTTTAGCAGTTTTATATGGCCTTAGATTTAGGACAATCATCGAATCAACATATCCTAAAATCCATGTCATTACTCTTGCATCTTTCACTATCCATTGAGCCAATTTAGCAGCCTCAGTAGGAACCGAGACACTTCCATCAATGTGACCGCATAGTTCTTTTTCCATAACAACTAATCGAAATTGAGATTCCCATGCAAAATAATTTTTTCTCGTGAATCGCACACCAAAAGAATAAGAAATATTGGTTTCCATAGTACTAACAATTAATTATATCGATAACAATCCCAAATTAAATTTAGTCCGTCCAAAACAAATGAATCAATCTGGCCCAATTAACTTAGCCCAAAGCAAATGAATTAATATAGCTCAATTATATAACCCAATAAAGAGTGATATTAGCCCAACACACTTAGCCCAAGACAAATAAATTGATATGGCCCAAATATCTTAACCCAATTAAACCACGTAACTCACCAATCACCACAGAATTCCACAGTCTCTGTGTGAAAACTAGGACCTCCGATTATAAAATTGCCTGAAATCACGAGGACAACTACTGGGATTAGACACTTTCCAGAAAAAAAGAGGCAGCATCGAAAACTCGCACTAGATTCATGCACTCACTGCAACAGAGCATCGGCACCACTCGAAGCCAGCTGTGAAGAATCGACTACGAAGAGTCGATAAGGGCTGAAGAAGTCGACGGCAAAGTTGGCGTCGACCACAACCTTCAATCACACCGAAAAAAGAATGAAGTGAGACCAACTCTGTCCACACTCCATTCGAACAGCAATTGATACCCAAAAACAAAGAGACTCAATCCCACAAGAAGGTATGCACAAATTTAGAGTGGCTTTGATACCATGACAAAAGTATTCAATTTCTGCTTTTGAACCGATGATCCTCATTGTGAGGGTTCCTTTGTATTTATAGAAATGATAAAGCACATTACAAGGCTGAATGTCAGCCATCACTATACATGTATGGAAAATGAATAATTTTCTACCAATTACAACTAATATACAAAGCATTTATTCTAATTGCTGGCTATAAATTAGTTTTCCTATCTAATTAACATTTGAACCTCTCTATATATTTTTTCAACTTCTTAATAACATCAATCTGCATTAACCTGTATATTTGCTCACACCAACCAAATCATAAGACAACCAAAACCCAAAATAGTATTACACTTTTCATTTGATCTCTAAATCTCTAAAGCTGATATTTTTAAATAGCTTTCGATATTCTTGAGTAATATATTAATATATGACAGTACAAATCTCTTCAACAAATATTATTTAAATTAGGAATTGCATTTTTAAAATTTTTGCTTTGTTGTCTTATGTAATCCTATTTTTGGGTAATAAATACACATTATCCAAACTAATAGACTCTTTACCTAAATAAAATTAAACTAATATTAGTTTAACTTGCCCCCACGGACATGACACAGTGGTAAAGTAGGAGGATTCTCTACGGAATATTGAAAGTTCGAATTTTTGTTATAGGGGAAAGACAACATTTATGTTGGAAGGCAGATATCTTGTGGAGGCAAAGCTATGGTGTGTTTTGTCATTCCGTCGAGGGTCCTGTCTACACTTTGTAAAAGGATGTCCATAGGGAGGAGAATCGCATTTTGAATGTCCAATCCAAATATGTATAAGCTGTGACAATATCAGAATTTATCCGAGTAGCGAACTAGGAGGAAGGACGTTGATAAGTGTGTTTTTGCACACTTATTTAGACCACAAACATGACTTAATTACGAGTAGAATGATTGAATTGTGACTTAATTTCATTACATTTGTTAATTGTAGGGAACATCGATGAACATGGTGAAATACAGGAGAAAAAACCCAAAAAAGGACTAAAATGAAGCAAAGTGAAAGTTCAGGGACCAATGTGCAATTATCCAAAAGTTGACCCAATGAGCAAATCAAGAAATTGAGTTTGCCAAATACAAATTGATGACATTTTGGGATGATGAAATGTGAAGAATGAAGAAAAGATGTAAAGAAGTGGAAGATTCAAGTAAAGGGACCAATTTGGAGAAAATGAAAGTTGAATTCTACCATGCAGTCGCATGGCATAAATCCCGTGCGTCATACAACCCGGAGCAAGGATTTATGCCATGCGACTGCATGGTAGAATTCAACTTTCATTTTCTTCAAATTGGTCCCTCTACTTGAATCTTCCACTTCTTTGCATCTTTTATTCATTCTTCACATTCCATCATCCCAAAATGTCATCAACTTGTATTTGGCAAACTCAATTTCTTGATTTGTTCATCGGGTCAATTTTTGGATAATTGCACATTGGTCCCTGAACTTTCACTTTGCTTCATTTTATTCCTTTTTTCACATTTTTTTCTTGAATTTTACCATGTTCATCGATGTTCCCTACAATTAATAAATGTAACGAAATTAAGTCATAATTCAATCATTTTACTCGTAATTAAGTCATGTTTGTGATCTAAATAAGTGTGCAAAAACATACTTATCAAACCCTCCCAAACTTGAACTATTGTTTATCCTCAAACAAAATAGTGACTTAATTCTGAACAAACATGACTTAATACCTTGTCGTGACTCAGTATTGGACTAATTAATTGACTTTATGAAAATTTATC